CAAAAACGTTGGCCGCAGATAGATAGATAGATAGATAGATACTCGAAGTCTAATTAGAATTGCATATGATTACATTTGCATGGAATTTCTATAATATTACACAACATATGCAATTCTAATTAGATCTCAAGTATCTATCTATATATCTATCTGCGGCCAACGTTTTTGCAAATGGGTGTATATATATATATATATATATATATATATATATATATATATATATATATATATATATAAAGATAAAATAAAATAAACTTGGTTTACTTCATAAGATTTTATTCACTACAAACTTGTTTCGTATGACAAGTAACGCTTGCCACACTCATCAGGTGAATTTAAATGTCGCGCTATGTTGTTGCCCAGGTTATATATACTATATACATGTTTGACGTAAACGGAAAGCTCTTGTATTAAATTACATATAAATATATACAGATTATATTAAGTAATTATATTGCTTAAGAGAAATTTTTTTCTATGCCTGCATTTCGATAACAGTTCACTTCTTGAATATAAAGAACAAAGTTCAGGGTGGTAAATTATGATAAATTTTTCATGTGTACATAGGCTGCAGCGTTTTGTTGTGTTGTTATAGCTCTTGCATTGTTTAATAATACGCCAGTCTAAAGAGTACTTAACCTTTGACTCTTTAAGTTGTCAGATGTATTTGCTCAGTTCTGTCGCATTTCTGTACAAAATATCGAAATGCAGGCATAGAAACAAATTTCTCTGAAGCAATATAATTACTTGATATAATCTGTATATATTTATATGTAATTTAACACTAGAGCTTTCCGTTTACGTCAAACATGTATATAGTATATATATATATATAATCTTGGCAAAAACAAAGCGCGACATTTAAATTCACCTGATGAGTGTGGCAAGCGTTACTTGTCATACGAAACAACCATAACATAATTTCTAGTCGCTTCTAAGTTCTGCAATGCTGAAGCAAATTACTGTGATTCTAATCTACTTACCCACCTTCAATCAGTTCAATGGTTTATGTTCTACATCATAATAAAGAGCGTCGATACAGCTTCGAAAATGAATGGAATAATTTAGATCAAAATTTTGTCATCTTCGATTTCGGGAAATCAATCAATCAAAATCAATAAAAAAATTTAATCAAGATACCTACAAATTATTACAAGAGGTAGGTCTTTGCAGGAGGAATCGGAAGGTTAACCCTATTTTAGAACCCCCTCAAACCTAATCTTTCATCAAAATCAGGTGTTGTGGACAGTGGTCTTTGTTATTCAAACAACCTCATGCTGTGATGTTGAAGATGACCTGGCGAGAACGGATTTCCCCTGCATTGCAAACGATAAACGAAACTAGTTCTCAGGCTTTTTCGAGTGAAATCTGGCAATATTTATCTTCAACGTTTATGAGTTTGCTTGCACATTCACATTTCACATTTTTGACACGAATACAAAGAATAACAAATTTTGCAACAATCATTGCAAGATATGACTTTGTAGCGATGCGTTTTTGACACTATTCGTGTTGAGTTTAAGGTTTGATGGCTGTGTTTATCGTATATATTATTAAAATAGAACCTTCGTTATAACTGTCTCTTTCTCAAGATCGTCACAAACAGTTTTCTAATATCTGTGACCCACCTCTTTCAGTTAGAATGAATGTAGTTCAAAGATTTGGTACAGTCCGTAATGTGAGCAATATCCTGTGCTTTGTCAGAATATTTATACCGGCCCCTAAAAGTACCATCCTGAAACCATAGTACCTGAATTTCAACCCGGTGTCGCAGACGATTTTGATTGTGCAGCGGAAATGTTTATTTTTTCAAACGACACACGTTTCAATCTTAATTTCTTGTTCAATATTATAAGATATTTCTAAACACGAACTTTAAAAATACAAAAAACATGTCAGCTGCCTCGGAATCTGTACAATAAATGGCACTCCAAACATTCAAAATCCCAAATAATACATTCTTGCTTTGAAACAAAATGTCTCTCAGATATTCACATAAATTCTCTCTTTAATTTCTTTGTTATAGAAACGAGATAATGGTTACATCGCCATGGAATGAAAACCCTAATCCATCGTTGAAAGCTTCACGCAAAGGAGTTGAAGATATTCACAAAAGAACAAGGTAATGTTTGAATCTTCTTCTTCCTCTTCGTCTGTCTTACAAGTGATAATAGCGAGGTTCAGATTTGACTATCACTACGACTACCAAAACCATTGAGGGAATATAAACCAATCAAATGGGATAGGTCTATCAGACTAACTAATCACGAGCTTAATAGATTAGCGAGAGGTGGCGGTGGTGGTAGTCAAATCTGAACCTCGCTATAGTTTGCGTCGTGAGGCCGGTAGAACTGACCAACAGTTTGATAAGTGCAAGATATGTCAGGAATATTTCTATGACCTAAATGACTGTTTGGACAGAATGTCTACGGAAATTTTGGACATAGGAACCATTCCTGTATAGTATAGATCTTGCTATGCTAGCTGGTTTGTGTCTGCAGACTCTGCATGTACTGGTACTGTCTCTGGTACTGCTCATGTACGTCGTGCAATAGTTTGTAAGTGCCAGATATGTCAATGATATACAGTATCTATGACATAGAGATCACAATGTGTTTAGAATATCCAGCGAAATTTCAGGCACGAGAGAATCATTCCTGTATAGTACAGACATTGCTATGCTAGGCTGGTTCGTACTGACTCGTACTACTAGCTCATCTATAGTTCGATATTTACCCCTTCTGAAGAAAAAAGCCCAATGAGTATAGAATGTGAATTGCTCTGAGAAATTGACTCAAAATACCACCTGTAGTTTTTACGTGGTGTTTGTCTATGGAAGTGACTATATACGATCTTTTTAGTTCGCATGGTCGTCGACAGCGGTGCAGGGACTGTAGCTTTCGTCTGAACAGAATTTGAATAGAATAACAATTATATTCAACAAATTTACTTACTTTGGTTTGCGCACGCACCAAACTTTTATAGAAAAATAGCGTAGAGTATGTAGATTTCTAGAGTACCAACGTGAATAGATATTGATACGCCAATTATTTAATAAAGGCACCAACAATACAATACAATACAATACAAACAATTTATTTAAACACGGTGGAATATTTAGTTAAAAAATACAACTGGTTTACAAAATTGCCGTGAGAGAGTCGTTATATATATTAGTAAAATAATCATTTGTAGCTTTCTTAAATTGAGGAAAAAGGGTTAAATTACGCATTTCTTCAGGAAAGCTATTCCATAGCAAAGCCCCGCTATAGCATAAGCTACGTTTTAGATAGTTCGTTCGTGGTTTTGGTAAATTTAATTTAAATTGATTATTTCTAAAGTCATACTCAGAATTTCGAATAGAAAACATTGTTTGTAAATATGGAGGCATATTTCCTTTTAATGTTTTAAACATCAACTGAGACTTCAATTTTTTACGTCGTATATAGAGATTATCTAATTGCAAGCGAAGAGAGCACAAGCGTTGGCATCATAACTTGACCTCGTTATGACTTGAACTGCTCTGTTTTGTAATTTTTGTAATTTTTTTGCAAGTGTGTCCCCTAATTCATCCCAAACCGAGCAGCAGTAGTCAAAATGTGGTTGTATTACAGCGAAATAAAGCTGAACTGCCGCCTTGCGCGATATAAAGGGTCTTACGCGCTTTAACGCTCCAATAGCCGAAGAAACCTTTTTGGATATTTTGTCAATATGCTCTGACCATGAGAGGTGACTATCAATATACATACCTAGAGATTTGGAAACATTGACCCTGTTTATTTCACGATTGTTAATGGAAATAGATATATCGTTATCGGTAGTATTAATTCTTTGCCGCGATCCTATTATCATGAATTCCGTTTTAACAATATTCAAACTAAGCTTATTAGCTGTAAGCCAGTTATTCAGATTTTCTAATTCACGGTTAATAACAAACTGCATTTTGTCCAATGAATCAGCGGAATAACTTATACTCGTATCGTCCGCAAAAAAAACAAGCAATTTGGTAGGTCGTTAATATAGATAAGGAATAGCAATGGCCCCAAACTACTACCCTGGGGGACTCCACAGGTTAACGAGGTAGAGCTTGAGAGCTGACCATTTACTTTGCACTTTTGTTTTCTATTCGTTAGATATGACCTAAACAAATTTAGACTACCTGGATCATGAGTAAGCAACGACAGTTGCTTACTCACAAGCAGGTCCACGTTATATTAACACTGACTTAAGTTTGCTTGAGTCTCCTATATTTATGCAGAGCGATACCGGAACGTGAATCTAGAAATATTGTTTTGCGCAACGGACATCGCTAGGTTAGGCTGGGAAACCGCATTACGCATTTGCTGACTAAACCTACGCATTTTGGTTTAGCGGTTGTGGCTGCGGAAAATAACAAGGTTGTTTTTGCCAATACAATATTATAGAAAACATCCGTTGGTTAGTCTTTTCCGTTTCGAAACCAACAGGGACAATATTACGACTCGTTGTAAACGCAATTCGGTGTGAACGCGTTAACTGAGGGGGTGGTTGCCTGGGGGTATACCTCTTTGGGAGGAGGTGGCCTACTGACGTGGTGCCCCGCATCCTGAGTTTAGCGAGAAATTCTTTCGGATTAAAAACTTTTAACAAACAGCATTTTAAAATCATATATTTTGCCTCGTGCACCAGGGTGATTATCACAACCCCTGCCTTCTCTAAGCTACTGGACTGGCGTTTGTAGATAATAGTTTTTTCTTCTTTTAAAACAACACTTTTTCTATGAAAATCGTATTTATTAATAAATCAAGAGTACAATATTTAAATTCCACCTGAACCAACCACATCTTGTGTAAAAAGGTCTTTATAACAAGAATAATATATAGTGTGAGAAATATATATATATATATATATATATATATATATATATATATATTAATATATATATATATATATATATATATATATATATATTCAATTTATTAATAAGAATTACAGCTAGCGCATTCTGCTAAACCATTATCACGCTGATTGGCATAGGATCGAGAATCACCTCGATAAAAACATTAAAATACCTTAAACAGTAGTATTCAACGTGTTATCGATTTTTGACGAAAGGATTCGGAAAGTGTCGCAAAATACACGGCGACTTCCGAAGCTGTAAATGATCCACCGACCATCAAAGTTGCTATCGACGTTCTACGAATTACAAATCCACGCAGCGTTCAGCGTTGCTCTACACTGTCACCAGATACTATTGGTTCTGTCGCACTCGAATTTTCACCAAGTCGGCTAAGAAGATTGATCATTTCAAACAACTGACGCTGGGTCGTTGTGGTGTCGCTAAATAAGGGATCCCCCAATGCTTCGTCAGCATAAGGTCTATCATCAATCTTGTGATTAATCAGCCACGACACAAACCTACGAGCTTCGCGATCACCAAGTTTCCTCCGATTGACAGGATTATCCATCAAAATATTTTTCATTCGATCTAACGAAGAACCAAAAGGGTGTTCACCTTTCGTTAACACGTAAAAAGCAATCATACCTGCGACATAGATATCTGATTTTCTTTTGAAGCGACCTTTTTCGTTTTTCTTTATGGCCTCAATTACTTCCGGTGGCATCCATCCGTGAGTGCCTTTAGCATCTGTTTCAACTGTCGTTTCATCGTCATTTAGAACGCGGCTTATCCCAAAGTCTGCCAATTTCATGCGGCCTTCGATATCAACAAGGACGTTTGATGGTTTTAGATCTCTGTGCAATATTCCTTTACCATGAAGAAAGTCAAGTCCGGATAGAATTTCCCTAATCATTCGTGGACCATGCTCTTGTAAATGTTTAATAGTGCATGTCTGGACAAGTTCCCTCAAGGTTTCTTCGCAAAGATCAACAATAAGATACGTGAAGGTATCGTCACGGTGAAAATGTCGATATTTCACTATAAATGGAGAGTTTGTTTCGATAAGATTCATGACTTCCTTTTCGTTTTCAACTGTTTCATCCTCACTTTGCATCAAAATTCTCTTAACAGCAACTTCCCTTCCATCCTTCATGAGACCAACATAGACACGTGAACCACCACAACCATCACCAATTTTGAATTGATTCTTTGCGACAAAAGCTTGCATTGGTGTTTCAGTCTATGGACGAAAAAGCACAAATTATCTTGAGTGAAAAGTTTGGAGCAAAAGGAGCAAGATTTGAGCATTCTTATAAGTAAAAGCAGAAGTGCACCAGCTTTCAGGGGCATTTTTGGTTAATAAAAAAGGCAGCAAAAAATATGTATAGGGACGGTTTGATTGCAAGGACACCACTGGTGTTGTTTATATTTATGCACTACAAAAAGATTTGGTCATGTGTAAGTGGGCATACGTATGAAACAAAAAGGGCACCTTCGATTTTAAAATATTATTTTTAGCCTCATTGGCTTATGCAAAAAGGCATTTTTCATCACAAAAAGGACATTTTTAGTCTTTTAAAAAATTTTGCGGTCGCACGTGCCCCCTGTGACCACCCTCCACCCCCAGGTTCCTAGGCCGCTGCAGATAGACATATTTCGAATTATCAAGTATGTTTGAAACATTACCTCTTTTAACTGGTTGCAATTCATTGTTTTCAACATCTGAATTTTCTCACGATGATTTGCGGACCTTTTGAGGATAGTTGTAATTTCATCACGACCAAGATGAATACTCAATTCAAGAAGACTCATTTGTTTTTCTTCAACAAGAAATGTTCCAGCTCTCCACACAGCAATGTTCTTTTCCAAGAGAAGATTCACCAAAGCAACTGAATTTTTCTCAACAGCCATCTTGAGGATGTCAATGGCAAGAGTGTGAGTGTGAAGAGTCACGTCAGCACCCTTTTTAACTAAATACTTGACAATTTCTAATCTATTAAACCTAACAGCATCATGCAGCACTGTCCACCAGTTAGTGTCCTTGCCATTTACATCAGCGCCATGTTCAACAAGATATTTTACAATTTCTAGCGTACCTTTAACAACAGCATAATGCAGCACTGTCCACCCGTTATTATCCTTGCCATTTACATCAGAGCCGTTTTCAACAAGATATTTTACCATTTCTAGTGTACCTTCAGTAACAGCAGAGTGTAGTACTGTCCATCCGTTATTATTGTTGCCATTTACATCAGCGCCATGTTGAACAAAATATTTAACAATTTCTAGCGTACGTATAGTAACAGCATCTTGCAGCACTGTCCACCCGTTATTATCCTTGCCATTTACATCAGCGCCGTGTTCAACAAGATACTTCATCATTTCCAGCCTACCTTTAGTAACAGCATAGTTCAGCGCCGTCCTCCCTACTTCATCCTTGTCATTTACATCAGCGCCATGCTCAACAAGATATTTCACCATTTCTACTGTGCCTTTAGTAACAGCATAGTGAAGCATTGTCCATCCGTACGTATCCTTGCTATTTACATCAGCACGATGTTCAACAAGATATTTAACCATTTCAAGCGAACCTTCTGTAACAGCATAGTTCAGCGCTGTCCACCCTTTTTTATTCTTGTCATTAACATCAGCGCTACATTGTTCAACAAAATATTTGACAATGTCTGTCTCACCAACATCAACAGCATGATGTAACGCAGTTTTGCCCGACTCATCTTTGCGTCTTAAGTTAGCACCACAATATTTAACCAAAAACTTCACAATTGCTAATGATGGAGACTGCATTGGACTCTGAGAAGTTATTCCATCGTCTTGGAGATCTTTTGCACCATATTCACAGACACTTGTACTTCCACATGCTTCTTGCTTCTTATCAATTCCTATTATAAACGTTGAGAATGAGACAATAGCGAGGTTCAGATTTGACTACCACTACGACTACCACAACCTTTGAGGGAATATAAACCAATCAAATGCGATAGGTCGATCAGACTAACCAATCACGAGCTTAATAGATTAGCGAGAGGTAGCGGTAGTGGAAGCCAAATCTTAACCTCACTAATATAATTTCAAGGGGTTCTTGAGCTGTAAAGACTTTATTTTTTTTCTATCGTTTCTAAGACAAACACCAGCCCAGTGCCCGTGGTGAAGTTTAGTGAGTATGGTTGGGATTAGTTGTGGTTCAACTTTAAAAGAAAAAGAGAAATTCAGTACTCGCGGTTCAAAACAATTGTATTCTTAATGGGTCCAAATGGTTTACAACTACCATATGCGTACTTAATTTCGCGCGACTTTAATTTCGCGATTGAAAAAAATCGCGAATAAAAAACCCCGTGAAATTTACCCGCGCGAAATTAAATAGCCCGCCAAAAATTTCGAATTACTACATCATAAATTTTTTAATAAATAATGATCAACAACATGTACAGCTTATAAAATAATACAATAGTAAATGCAAACAAAATAATTTTGAAATATTTATGAAATCAGAAATATTTCGCGAAATTTAATGCCCTTTTATATTTCCCATCCTTCAAAATTGCGAAAATAAAGTCTCGCGGAATATGGCTTCGATAAAATCGCGAAATTGAAGTCGCGCGCGAAAATGAGTGCGAATAAGGTAGTTATCTAATTATCGTGTTTAAATGTTTTAAATGTTTTATCCGTGCTCGACCTTTGTGTTGGTACCGAGTTTAGCCGTGCTGAGCGAGCCCTGAGCAACGGAGCTAGGCCCTGGGGACGAGGATGTGTCGAGCCAACATGCAGTACACGAAAAACCTGGGGACGAGGATGTGCCGACCAAAATCACCCAATAAATGGTATATCGCATATTTAATAATTGCTCGTCAATCTGGTACCTTCTTTAAAAAATACTACTTAAAAACCAAACTAGGCCTCTGAAGTTAACATGAACACTGCTTGACTCACTGATATAATATTCGTGTAGTGTGGCAATCACACAGGAATGCTACACACAAACCTCGCACAAAGATATGCTACTCATCTCCATCATAACATGATATCTAGTCGCTTTTGAGTTCTGCCGTGCTGAAGCAAATTACTGTGATTATAATCTACTTACCTGCCTTCAGTGGTTTATTTCGTACATCATAATAAAGATTGTCGATACAGCATCGAAAATGAAACAAATATATTGGATAAAAATCTTGGCAAAGCTATTAAATCTTCGAGCAAAATCAAGTGTCGCCAGTCGTATTTCACAATTAACCGGTCAGCTCCAATTTCAGATTCCAGTTACAGATTAAACTTGGAACCATAAACATGGCGCATCTCGGCATCTGTTTCACTGGCTATAACTCCACAAGACTTTATCTACGGCAGCATGTTGCCAGAGACGGCAATCATACTTTGCCGATTATACATTCTGTATTGCCGCTCCTCTGTGAAAACAACGCAAAGAAAATATGCAATATGAATTGTTTTAGGAAGGGCTGAAGTTGTTAGTCAACAGATGTGAAAAAGTGCCAAATATGATAAACGCGTATGAGTGTGGCAGCGTTCATTGTATCTCTAACGTCGCGCCTGATACGACTGGTTCTCTCGCACTTGCGTCGAACGCTTGTCGCTTCAAATTCCCCTTTAGGCTTTAGGTTTACTACTAAATTAGAAAACAAACACACCATAAACAAGCAAACAAACAAACAAAAGATACAGATCTGTCGCAAGTATTTTAACTAGTAAATACATCGAGGGTGAACACCTTTCAGAGACTTAGGGGCTGTTTACATGAGCCGGGTTACCCGAGTTCAACGAAGCGTGAGAGGACTTTGAGGTATTGAAATAAGTCTTTATGACACCAAACAAGCACATACTATTGTTGTGGTGATTATACGACGGCCAGGATCGTGTTATCTGCTCATTTCAATACCTCAAAATCAATCTCGGGTAACCGGGCTCATGTAAACAGCCCCTTAAGACTATGATGTTACGACAAATGGCTAGGTAGCTTAGTTTCATGATCTGAGTACAGATTGTAATATTTGTATAAAAATACACGTCTCTTTGTCAAAGTTAGTATTTTTTCCACCAGTGATACGAAAGTTTCCGATGTGGGAAAGGGTGGTTCGTTCCCTTCGGAAAATCCCACACGTTCACAGTCAAAAATTAACACACAAAATAAAATATATTAATCACATTCACAGTACAATCTCGACCCTCGTGGACGGTAACACAATCTCAACACTTCTCCATCATACTAATCCGTTTTGTCCTAATCGTCAATCGCGTGACTGGCAAAACATGTAATGCCATTAGGTCAGACGTATCAGGTGTCAGGTCACGCTGAGTTCGCGTAGTACAATCGCGCAATGAAAACATGGCTTTTTTCCCTAAAATACCTCATTTCTCGGGTTTATATGAAACATTCTTAATTTCTTCACTCGGCTTAGGACTCCTTGTGTTATAGCGCTATTTCTTGTCTTAAATCTTTCTTTTAGATGTTAAAAAAACCCCCGTCACTTTTGCCTCAAAGTTGCGTACAAACTTATTGTTTAGTATAAAAAATATTGTCACTGCGCCTACGACCCACGTGTAAAGCGTTTTAACTCTGTTTTGCCATGCGTAATGTCGAAATGTACAGGCAGATTCAAAAAGCTTGGGCCCTTGCGGTCATTTTGGTGGGAAAATTTTAAATTTTCGCGCAATTCTGACCTCGTCATTTCGCGTTTGAAAATGATGTCAACTTCAGCGTTCACCAGGTTTTGGCTGCTGGTTGGGATTACTGTATTTCATGTATTTGTGGCTGATACAGCGTTCAACGAAAATAATGAGAAGAAACAAGAAAATAAAGAATCGCATTGAAATCCTTTCTTTGAAGTCAATGTAAACCAGTAAGTGTTTGCAGCCTTTGCAAGTATTGTAGTATATTTAGTATAATTATTCAACAAAATTTGGTTTGTTAATGAGCAAATACTTGTTGGGCATTGTGCAAGGCATTGTTCAGATCTAGCTGACTATAGTTTCAACTAAAATACTTTAAAATATAAGGGGCTTTGACTTTGCTCGAAACGTTTTTTACACGGCTTACTTTACTCAGTTTACTGTCTTTACATTAGGTATTAATGTCTTTACATTATCTCTCATTAGGTATGAAACGTGGAGACATTTGACCAAGTGTTCTTGTAGTCTTCAGCTCTGTACAAGATACCCATTCATCATCGCATTCTGAGTAACCTGTATAGTGAACTTTCACTCCGTCTTTGGCTTTGTCCCGATCAACAATCTAAACGGATCAACGCACATATTTCAATAAACACTAACTATTCATGGTTGCAACACAACCCAGCAGTGCGTAGACAACACAATATTATCATCACAAACAAAACTATATAATATACAGTATGTAGCAATTGAGCGCTGTTTTGTACTTTTGTTCAAAGCAAACAATCTTTAAACCCTAATGCTGTAACTATTTTCAGCCACTTGACCTTTGCTTTTCATATTAAAATACGGCAACAAACCAACATAATTTGGGCTATCTTTAAAAGGGGGAACGGGGAATCGGGGAATATCGGGGAATGGGGGAATATCGGGGAATATCGGGAAATATCGGGGAATGAGGGAATAACGGGGAATATCGGGAAATATCGGGGAATGGGAGAATAACGGGGAATATCGGGGAATATTGGGGAATATTGGGGAATAACGGGGAATATCGGGGAATATTAGATTCACACAGCAAATTTTTAACAATTAATCATCCCAATGTAAAAGTAGCATGGCGTGTTTAAAAAGAATAATGTTAGACTTTTTCGACCGCAATCCAATAACACAACATATCAAACTATCATAACCTACTAATAAATAATGCATTATCTGGTCATAAAATTAGGAAATATTAAGGACGGAGGACCTAAATATTTGCAGAAGAATCGGTCATAAAAAGTTTCAAAAGGATAATTTTCGATTGAAACTTTTAAAGTTTCTGCGTTTGACACTAACTATGGTGGAACTTCATTAAATCGAAGTTGTAAGTGGGAATTTGAATTCCCGTCTGCGTCGAGTTTCCCCCGATATTTAGGTCCTCCGACCTCCGTCCTAAATATCTCCTAATTTTATGACCAGATAATGCATTATTTATTAGTAGGTTATGATAGTTTGATATGTTGTGTTATTGGACAGGGGTCGAAATATTCTTTTTAAACACGCCATGCTACTTTTACATTGGGATGATTAATTGTTAAAAATTTGCTGTTTGAATCTAATATTCCCCGTTATTCCCCGTTATTCCCCGATATTCCCCGTTATTCCCCCGTTCCCCGATATTCCCCGATATTCCCCGTTATTCCCCGATATTCCCCATTATTCCCCGATATTCCCCGATATTCCCCGATTCCCCGTTCCCCCATTCCCCGTTCCCCCTTTTAAAGATAGCCCATAATTTGCATTATTATTATTATTTGTGTAAGTCAGTAAATCAATCACTACTAACCTCAACAGAATATAATTTTGACTTCTCTGCCTTTCGTAAACGTTTCTGTGTTACTTTCTCTCGCTTTACACTTATACAGTTTTGTAAAAGCTTTTCTCTGGTCGACGTCGCTTCGAGACAGTCGCCATGTTGCGCGCATGCACATATATATATGTATATATATATATATATATATATATATATATATATATATATATATATATATATATATATATATATTATATTATTATATATATATATATATATATAATTATGTCTATTGTAATACTGAACCCTATAGGCTATAGATAAGAATAATGTACTACAATTACACGAAAAGAAATAAGATTTATAAATATTGCTAAAACCTAAATTACATAATAATGAATTTTAACGTTATAATAATAATAATAAAGAGTTTATGATGGCATATCCATAATCCATATTACATGATATCTTCATCCATAATGTTAAAACTAACAAATTATGATATTATACGAGGAAAGGGTATTTGAGAAATCTATCTTTGTAAATGACTTGAGCAATTCATTTTGTAATACTAATTATTAAATACAGTCTATTTGTATCGTCCTGAGTTGCATAAAAATACAAAATGTATATTATTTTATACAAAGTATTTTAAATATAATAAGACCACATTTATATTAAGTATCAGGCAAATGCAACATCGCTGACCGTTATGTATAGCAGTTTCAGATATGTGCGTATGTTGTCTATGATCTAGTGCCGACCATGACACCATGTGGCAAATGCGCTTGCGCAAACTTGTCTGGGCAAATGTCGCTCACATTAGGCTTATGTTTTGATGAAATATTAAAGTGGAAGTATTAAAGTAAAGCATTAAAGTGGAAGTCAAGTCCGTTCTGCGCATAGGTTCTGCCCATAACAAGGAAGGGCCCTCACTTGCCTAAATTTCGCATGTTTCTTATTTTTTCTTAACATAAACTCTAGTTCATATTAATTTAGAAGCGTAACGAACCTAAATAGTCTTAGAACGTGCTTCAGACAGTACATCGTATTTTAAAAGATAATGAAGTTCAAAATATAAACAAACCGTTTGTTTACATACGCGGACTTGACTTACACTTTAACTAATGTCCCAAATTAATTAGCCCAGATTATTTATTAACTTACAACAATTATAATTATTATGCATTACTAATGCCATCTCGATTGTGATTGGCTAAAAACCTATAGATAATTCTCAATGTTTTGCCACCTACACGACATTGAAAATTATCCGTAGGTGACGTAATTTTTTGCCGCTAGTTTGTTGTCAATAATGGCGCAGGTTCCTCTCTAAAAATTCCCCACCTGGCGCTGTCACTGTGGAGGGGAAGTAGTTCTCAGGCCAGAGTCAGACATCGTGTCAAATCATATGATACAATGGACGACTTGCGCTTTAGACTAACTTTTGATCGAAGTAACTAGAGGAAAATAAATCACCCCAGCTAGAAAGATCTTACTTAAATTAGTAAAACTGCCAAGTTTGGCTGCGAAATTTTGTAAAATACGGAAAATATAGCCATGCGAAGTTGGCAAATTTTGTATACTTTTGTATTACGTGCGGAAATGTGTAACTAAATTAGTTACAAACTTCCGGTCGTAATACAAAAGTATACAAAAATCGACAAATTCGCATGGCTATATTTTCCGTATTTTACTACAATTCGCAGTCAAACTTGGCAGTTTTACTTATTTTAGTAAGCTCTTTCAGAAAATGTCCTTTTTATCGCCGAGGTAAGAAATTCGTCTAAAGCGCAAGTCGTCCATTATATAGAGTCAACAACTTTAATTCAGGATTAGGTTCCATACGAGCACATTTGCTAATCAATATAATTTATACAGTAATACTCGCACGTTTTCTGTGTTATATTACACATTCCATATGGCGAAAATCGTTTCCGATTTCAATTTTTTCCGATTTCAATATTTTTCCTCGATGAAGGATCATTGGCGGAACGGGGGAACGAATTGCCCTCAAATCATCTCAAAGTTCCATGACTTCAGTAACACACAAGGCAAATCTAGGCATGCACTCGCTTGTCAGAATTCCTAAAATAAAACAAAATGTAAGGATATCGGTATAATATTGCAGCAGGCTTAGATATTCAAAAGTTAATTACAGCAACGATACTTAAAATTTCAACAAGGACGTATAAAGGTAAACTCAAGTACTCAATAACAATATAATAGCTGAAAGCAGTGGCGTAGCAGCTGCAGCTACAGGTCATGCTTGTCATGGCCACCATGACTGAAAATGCATGTGACGCCTGTTGCCAAGTTGTCAGCTCTTCAATAATAAAGTTCGTTTCATGCGCGTCTGAAGTTCTACTCATGCTCTTTTCGAATGGCATTAGTTGCCCTGATATTCAATACTGATTGGATAATTGCCCTTGCTAATGCTCAAAGCAGCAATTTATTTAGCTCTAGGCGTGTTATTTTGAGAAGGCATGACTTTTTCTTGCCTTTCCTAGCGAGCTATATCCGCGCGACTGAAAACGCTTTCAAGGTAAATATTGAATTATCATAGTTTATTGTTTTTTCAGCACACTTAATAGAATATACAAGGTTTGAAACCTCATACAATACAACTGTTTAACTATGTATCTTCAGGTAGATTTATGCAAAAACAAATTGCACATTTCCCATTACATGTCTATTGTATTTTGCACGATAAACCAATATATAGCAATCTTTTAATTAACATTTTTTCAGGTCAAGGTTGAGGTGCCTATTAGCAAGACGATTGCCATTGGTAAGTTTTGCTAAAATACAATAGAGACATGATGAACAAGGAACCATTTTTTGCATAAACCTGGACAACAGGTTTGACATGACGTATTTTCATTTAGTCTCCAAACCATATATATTCTATTAACTGTGGTTTCAGACAGCCTAACTTACTTTAATTATTATATCTAATTCGTTTATTAATTTGATTACACCTTGATTTACATCATTGATTAACATACAGGAAACTATAACTGAGATTCGATTGACGTTCAATGTAAAAGAGTTCTTCATCATTATATTTTTGTATTGTTAAGTCAAAAACTAATCATGAACGCGGAAAATATTTTGAGAAGGCAGCCGAATGTAAGCAAAAATTGTTTAATAAGGCAAAATTATTTATACATTAAATTGTGAAATGTCCATGGCTTGGTGTTATTTTGTAATACACAGAATGAGTCAGAGTCACTAAAACTTTTTGAAAGATTCGACGTACTATGCGGTTATAATAGGAGCAAAAATGGTGAGATATATTTTCATATAAAATAATCTCTCAATTTGCTAAAATTTCAATTAGAAAATAAAATCGTTCGTACAAACATAACGATATTTTGTAGTATGGCATGGAAAAGTATTATTACTGCGTGCCTTGTCCATGCTTTAAGATCCACCTGAGTTTCTCTAATCAAGGCCATGTCTTAATATTAATCATGCAACTCAATATTTTACTCGATCATCGATTCAGGATCAAGTTCTACTATTCGAGTCTGGTGTTACTAATCCAGTGCATCTTTGCTAATGTCAAGTGCGTGTACGTTACTAAGAAACTTAAGGCGATTCTCTATTAAGGCGATTCTCCATTACGCACGCTCCGCCCGCGCGGGCGAGGCGCGCTTTGTTTTTCAGGCCGGTCACGGTCTCATGGGCAGATTTTCAAAAGCCGCTTCGCCCGCGCGGGTGAAGCGAACGGTAATGGAGAATAGCCTTTACGCACGCTCATCCCGCGCGGGCGAGGCGCGCTTTGTTTTTCAGGCCGGTCACGGTCTTATAGGCAGATTAATAATTTTGCTTTCTATTTAATTAATAAAATTTGCTTTCTATGTAACCCATAATGGACGACTTGCGCTTTCAACTAATTTCCTACCCGTGATAAAAAGAATATTTTCTTAAACTGGAAGAGATTATTAAACTTACTAAAACTGCCAAATTTGCCTGCGAATTGTTGTAAATTTGGGAAAACACAGCCATACTAAGTTTATGAATTTTGTATTCTTTGTTGTAGAGCCGAAAGTTGGTACTAAACAAGACGCCTGGGCAGGCGTACACGGTGCACTCCGGCTACGGCACAGGTGGCTTACCATCATCAGTATACATATAATATATACACGCGTCCGTCAAATTAACGAGACCGGGCAGGGGTGTGTGATGCCTGAGAGCGATATTGCTCTTTCTTGAGGGCAAAATTTAGCTGTTGCTACCAATATTATTTAGATGAGCTATAAAACGGAGACAACAATGATACATGACATCTGCATGTAGAGTTTTAGTGGCTGAGAATTCCAACGTAAAACTTCCACACATTGCCTGTTAAAGCAGTATTTGATGGAAAAACCAAAATTTAAATCCTTTATCCACGGTCATGCATTTTAACGTGAGCCCGTGAATCGTTCGAGGAAAAAAACGGTAAATTAGTTACACATTCCCGCACGTAATGCAAAAGTATACAAAATTTGCCAACTTCGCATGGCTATATTTTTCGTATTTTACAAAATTTCGCAGTCAAACTTGGCATTTGCACTAATTCAAGTAAGATCTTTCTGACTGTGATTATTTATTTTCTTCTTGTTAATTCGATGAAAAATTAGTCTAAAGCGCAAGTCGCCTATTGAGAAGTCTGCATAGTTGTCCACGTCCAAAACATAATTAATTTTATCGATCTTTAACCATGCACTGACAATTTGAGGACAAGTCGAGATGATGCTCAAGTATGTTCCAGTGAATTAAAGAATATTTTTAGGATTTAAATTGCACACTCGCAGCATAATTATTAGGTACATTTTAGCCCCAATTCCTGCATGCTCGTTGTTGGTATAGGCATCGCCAAATGTCCACGCCATGTAGAGCTGGTTCATAAAGACTCTATAGCTTTATTTACGCAGCTATTTTAGAAGCTTATAAAGACGCATAAATGTTGTCCCCAACGTGATGAAATGCATCAATTTTCTAGAGTGATGTTTGATCGCCATTATTTTCTTTTAGGTGCTGCTATGATAGAAGCGACACTGATCTGAATTCATGAACTGAAAACTGAACCGCATGGCTATGTTAATTGCCTGGCGTTTGAGATGCACCTCAAAAACTATTTTTCAACAATATTTGTATACAGTTATTAAGATACTTTTTCCCCATTACTCGATGATCACTTTCATATCACTCTGATCGACAAAGTGAAAAGTGTACTCCTGCCGTCTTGTGGTTGAATACACGGACATTAATTTTTATTAGTTGTATTCAAAATGAAGGTTGCTGTTGTTGCTGATTAGACTGAGTTAGAAAGTTTTCAGTTTGTTGAGCACAAATAAGACTTGCATCCATAAGATTATACGTGTTTTTGCGGGCAAATTTATTCAGTAGCCTTTTGTTGATTAATTCATGAGAAATGTTTTCTCCTCATTCCTCAGCCATTCTGCATAATTTACACTTAACGATCGTGCGTGTTAAATTGTTCTCGAGTTTTTGCTGGATAAGTAGATGCCATAACACGGGAAAAGATGACGCAAAAAGTGGTATGTTCATATAGTTTGGTGTTTTATTGCTTTCAACATCTCGCAAAAATTAAAATTTAACCAAGCTGAGGTTCCGTACTATGTGTTTATTATACAGGTTTAAAAATGGTGAACTATATTTTAATATAAATATGTATATCTCAGTCATTTTGGTAAACTTTCTGTTAGAAAGTTTAAATATTTTGTATATACATATAGCCATATTAAGTGCTCTGACGTGAAAATAGTTATTAAGCCCACCGCACACGAGAGCTATATTAGATAAGCTAAAGACCTTGCGAGGCTTTTACCTCAGCAAGCTCCTGTACTGTGAAATATATCAGACCGAGGTTTTTTTGCTAAAGATCCTCGGTCTGATATTAATATCACAGTACAGACCTCACGCTCGGTCAATAGTCAGTTAATATACGGTCAGTACAGTCCGTGAGTAACTCGATGCAAGACTGCGCAAGACACTGGCGAGTAACGAGTAGCGAGACTGCATGAAAGGAACTGCGAATTATACCTCGTGTTTGAAATATTAGTGAGGGAGCATATTAAGAACTTACTGACTGAGAGTGAGGTCTGTACGGTAAAATATCAAACCGAGGTCGTGCCGTATTGACCGAGCGATAGCGAGGTCAATACGGCACGACCGAGGTTTGATATTTTACCGTACAGACCGAACAATCGAAGTCAGTAAGTTATTTATTATATGACTTAATTTGGGAAAACCATAAACACGAATAATAATTCATTTCGAATTGCTGTTGTTTTTCCCGAAGGCATAAAAAATTGGGCGTATTGCCCGTGGGCAATATGGGAAAATCCCGCCTCGTCAGCAGCCAATCAAATTGCAGGATTTACAAAAACAAACATTGTCATATAATAAATACCACTTATTACCCGAATTTAAGGTCCGTACTAGAAAAATATCAGACCGAGGTATTGACAGTACGGACCGAGCGATAGCGAAGTCCGTACATAAAAGACCGAGGTTTGATATTTTTTGGTGATATAAAATACGCCGGTTGAACCTTCGACGACGATAGCACGCCAGCATACATGCAATGAAAAAGCCAAAGAGGAGTCCAGCTACAGCGGTTATTGCAAATATATACCACTTAGTTCCGCCCTTCGAATTTTCTGAAAATGGGAATGTGCTTGGTTGATTAAGTTATATGGTTCAGATAAAAATCATAACCAGAAATGCAGGACATTACTTACGATAAAAGTTCATCATGATTAATTACTATAAAATTCTGTATGGCCAAATTTACATCTTACAAAAGTAGAATTGTTTTGCAAGTTGCAAGAAAAAATGCATCGTGTAACATCTAGGGCCTTTAGGTTAGTTAAGGTTAACATCTTACCATTTGCGTCGGAGACTTTTAAGACAAATTCACTTCCTGGCCAGAAATTATTTGTGTGAAATACGATGGTTAGATTTGGTCCAGATGATACTAGTTCTCCAGGCAATTTGTTTCCACAATACCGCATGAAGAAATTACCGTCATAAACGGTCAAATGCTCATAGTTGCACTCATCACTACTTTTCAGCTAAAATAAGATGAATTACACGAAAGATTGATTTTAATCAGTTGTCATTGGCATATCGATCAATAATGACCGATGTATATGAAGTGGTTGGTTTGCTGCATTGGTCATTCGGAGAAAAAAATAGAACTGCCCATTATTTTATAGCCGCTACAAGATCCAACATGTTTTGTTTCAGCACGAGAGCACGAACTGTCCTTAGCACGAGTTTGTAGGGGACTGGGGTTCTATATAACTGTCACCAGTACTAGTTTCAACCTTCGCATACCCATGAAGAACGTTGGTACATGGTCTACTTAAAATTAATTAACATTTGAATTCCTAGGTAGTACAATAAAAATTTCTGGGTAAAAGGAAAAAGAACAGTTAATATAACCTACCGAGAATTGAGAAAACTGGAGGAGGATAGGCTTCCCACCAGTGTTAAAAATTGTCCAGACACAGTCCATCAGGTTCCAGTAAAAAGCTGGATGGTCAATTTTGAGTGTTCCAGGAGTTTGCAGATATGTTTTTCCACACGATTCTGCAAAAAAACAGTACAAACATATTAGGAAAAAGTATATGAAGGCAATTTTTATTTACCGACATGTCTTATTTTTTTATTTTTCTTATTTTGGCATAAACATATATAAACGTTAAATACCGCAAGTAATAGATTGAATATTTTTTAAATATCCTTCCCATTGCCAAAAAAGTCAACCATAGGTAAAGAATAACTTAAAAAAAGCCGAAAGAAAGGAAAATGTTTTCGAAAGCTATGTGTATATAAACACTAGCAACAAAGCTGAATAGCTAATTAACATGCAGAGCTTTTGATTGACTAACGCGCACATGAAAGGATGTTTTCAAAGGTCGTTGGTAATCTTCAGCAATTATGTGAAATTGACAATGTATGTATTTATTTTATATTTGAGTAGATATTTTTACGATTACTTAAATGGATATGTTCTCGGAAACGGCCAGTCGACCTGTGTAACGTTATTAGCGTGCGATAAGTAAAAAAATTGAAACGTCTTGGAATTGGGAATGTGTCGCTAGTTCCTTCGAATTCGTTTAATGAAAAAGCAGAATCCGCACACTCAATGCATGTACCTGTATATACATTCAACCCTTCTTCAGAGACAATTTCTTTATTATTAGTAAACATGCACTTGTGTGTGAACTTTAGCATTACCGAAACAAAAGGCACACTCGGCAGAGATACCCCGTGAATGTTTACAAGAAAATTAGTATTGAATTGGATGTCAAATGTATCAATCATGCATCAGCGTTGACTACTAAAAGGAGCAAAGTGAGCAGAAAGATCTTTTGATAACTTTTTTCTCAGACCTTTGCAAAGTCTTTGCGTCTCCCTGCGAATTTTTTTTAGGCGGGCGAAACGGAGGTCTGTGTTCAGGCCATGTAAATCGAGGTGAAATCAAACACCATCAAAACTTTAGCCTATGCATTATAATGCTTATAGTAGCAGCTACGTATTCTGCAAATCCAACTAAATACATGGTACTTGCGGGCTACAGAGTTAATTCCCAATTCGTATTTTTTGTTTTTAAAAAGCCTGCACGTGGATTGTCTTATCAAACGACATGCACATGCATTTATAAGTTCTGTAAACAAAAGAACTCAGAAATACACCACTTTGATTGGCCAATCCTGTCCTTAAGTACAGTTAAAAATAATCTAGTCTTTTATACTACAACTCCTAGATGTTATTTCAGATAATTTTTTAGGTTTAGTTCGTTGACATTTTACGTACTGTTTGGTGATAAAACACTTAATTGGTACCGTCATTTATTTCTTGAAATAAAACACACCTTCTCATTCTCTTTTAGATTTTTAGAGCGGTCAACCAGTGAAAAAAACTCTATAATTCTATTTTGAATAATACTTGAAAAACTGTATGATTTTGCAGTTCTACCATAATTTACCATATGAGAGCTCTTGATACACCCAACAGGGAATTAGATTTAAAATTTAACTTTTTAGTCATTAATGTTAGTTGGTCGCGCAGGGAAAAAAATATTGATAAATGCTTACAAGAGGATATCTCTCCGCAGATCCTAAAATCTGGGCATTATTTTCAGTGAGTTATTATTATTTCTAATCTTACCGTTTACGTTAGCATAACGAAACGCAAACCCACATCGATCCTTATATATACTATCCTTGTGATATACGATGAATAAACTGGGACCAGATGATACCAGATACATTGGGAATTGGCCTCCATAATATCGCCCGAGTTTTGCCGATTTTATAGATTGACCGTCATAAACATCCAAATATTCATATTCACACCAGGAGCTGTTTTTTCTCTAAAAGCAAAGCAATTATGTGCAAGTTATATATAATACAAACACCATGCAATATGAGCAGTACCTTTACGAAAAATCCACATGATTTTCACATGCATGAAACCTCGGACACGCTGAAACTTTAATTTTATAACAGGGAGGAGTCGACTGCCCTTAATTTAGAAGGCAATGTGCCACGAATATACATATCTTGTCTATCTGTTTGTTTTCGAAAACTAAAATATTTTCGTGATAAATTGATACCAAGCTTTTCAAAGAAATTGGTATGAAAACAGGAAAGTTGACAGTATATTTTAGTTTTTGAATTTGCGCAGATGCAATAGTATTCCTGATAAAGAATTCACTACTCTGTAAAAAACATGCATTTATCTTCATTTGAGATTTATTACTTTCCCACTATATACCGAAGACCGAAATACAGTATATATATGGCTTAGTAGCTAAACATGCACTAATAATTCGTTCAACTTTATAGTCTTTATTCCAACTTTATTTCTCTTTACTCCAATTTGTTTCAGAACCATTTATATTTCAAATCGCTTCATCTTAAACTGTTCTTTCCCATTCAATTCACATATGTGAAGCAATCGTTGTACCGCATGTCCTGTACATGGGCGAAATTGCTGGCGATGATAAGAGAAATATGATTATATTTTCAAAGAACAATAACCTAAAAACAGCCGCTAACAAAACCTACCGATAAATGCAAAAATTCGAGGAAAATAGATGTCTCATGAACGTTATAAATTTTCCACACACAGTCTACTTTATTAGAGTATAAATCAGGGCTTTTGAGGGTTCCAGGAGTATATAGGTAAGCTTTGCCGCACGAATCTGCAACAAAATAAAACAACAGGTAACACATACACAAAGTTATAAACAGTTAAGATTACACAGATTTTGGAACCTGACTGATTGCATGCTTTATCAAATTATCAAAAGTTTCCCTATCTAAATCACTCCTTTTTGGGTTTAAGCGATCAAATTTCAAGAGTCAGACCTTGTAAATAGGTTAAAGGATCCTTAGCAGTTCTTGCACTCATACACTGAGGATTTTGGTTGATTAATGACATAATTATTCCCTCTTAACTGCAGATTTTCTAATCCTAATAACATTCTTTTACTTCCGCGAAATAATAAGTTTTGAAATGACGGAGTAGAATGACGAAATGAAATTCTCCTCGTTAAAGTAAAATAATTTTACGCAGTTTAGTTATCGTACTGCATTTTTGCGGAAATTTGTTTCGCTTTTGATCCGAGTGGAAGTGTGATGGAACGTTTGCCAGCTCAAGGGCGGACAAAGCACTGCCATGCATATATTACTTAGATCGTGCCTGTTTTTAAATGCCTTGGCCTATATAATATGTGACCTTCCACGGGAAAACGTACGTTAACGATATTTCGTTGAAACGGCAAAACGAACGGATAACGAACGGGTAGTGAACGATCTGTAATAACGTTTCAACGAACCCAGAAAACGTTTTGACGAATTCAGCTAAAAATGTGAACGTTTAAAGTCGAGAATACGAACGGATAAATAAACGTTCAATCAGAAGCCGTTTGAACGATTTATGTTTATGAACGGTTTTAACGAATTAGTCTGAACGCCTGTTGCGCGTATGATTGACGCAAGATATTATTGACTAATTAAAAGAATAGGAAATATTTTCAAACACGTAACATGTGTTGGCGCAAATATGCGCGTGTACATAAATAGCTATACCTTCATTTCAATGCTTAACTAAGATTATTTATAGCTATACTACCTAAATCACAATATTATATACTTTATATACATATATACATTTGCATTTTGCATCAAAATTCGGGTTAATCGTTAGAAAGCCTTCAGTTATTAGTACAAATTATCATCCTTATGTCAAATTAATCAATGCATCATCTGCAACTATACCCATTAAGATATTCAGCGCGTGTTCATTTGCAACAACGTTACAGATTTTGTAAATCTCTCCACAGACAAACTATATGTATGAGTGGTTAAAGACATATAAACACATACAGCATGCATCCGTTTTATTAACACGGCTCTAAACCGAGAGTAAACGAAGATTGCCATAAATGGCCTGGCTTCGATAATAATATCATAGGCAATGTCATCGGTCATGCACCGTCTCAGTTTGGTTGAGTTTGAGCTACTGGATACATATTTTATGTTAAACTAAACACAAGAGATTCCACTGTACACTTTTGCTTATACTCTTTGACGCGCAAACGATTAAATTAATTAGCGCAAGGATCAAGTTGTTTACAGATGATAACCAGACATTAATACAGAATATCACATAGGCAAAGTTCGTTTGTATGCGAACCAGCGTAGTAACGTGTGCTTGCATGCTGTCAAAACTTATTTGGTATAAATACTACATTAAATATCCAAACCATTTATACACGTGAAAATCCACATTTCAATTTCAGCAATGCATTGCGCGGTACTAAAATATTTAAAATATAAGCTTGGATATTTACCTAGTGCACACCGAATATGTCCCGTGCAGCAACACCAGTAGCCTCTACCTGCAGTCAAGCTTGTCGCGGAATGTCGCCTATACACAGTAATGTCAGTAACGACTATAAGGGCATCATTATACGTTAAGAATATTTTAAAGTTTGATAATAATCTATTTTATTGACTGCGTGCACCATCGCCATATTTTCTTCGCAAAGCTAAAGCTGCAATGTTGCTATTTCTGCCGCCATATTTTTTCATATAAGTGATATGTTTTGTGACCATACGATCACATATGCATGTGTTATGACTTATGAGCCAGTATATCGCTAATTAATACTTGTGATATTAAATTAGCTAACTAAATTCTTGGTGGTCAATATATTCATCAGGAAATATTTTATTTCCCCCCATATATTCGACCATCTACATAGTTAACTGTGTAAAAATACCTAAGCTACCTGCATGAGCCTAACAATAGTGACCTAAAGAAATAGAACGCGTAAATTAATGGGATAATTTTCGAAATCTTCATTTCAAACGATCGCCGGCAATCCGCAATCCCGAAGGTCCGAATATCCGCCCTGCAAAGCAACTTAATACTCAACCCCGGCAGCAAGAAAAGAGTGCACAGTATTTTCACTAAAGCATATAGCAATAGCAGACGGCCCATATAGAAACCGGGTTTTTAAATCACAAAGAGTGCAAATAATTTTCTGCAAAGCATATAGCAATGCTGCCGCCCATATAGAAACGACGATGCCAAATGCATGCACAGGGGAGTTTATACTCACCATTTTAAGAAACATCGATCCTCAACATCTTCGAGACATCTACTTGTGACACAATTTGTGCCTCCTGCTTACAGTAAAATTAACTAATCAAGATTTCCCCGGACAGATTATTAAAATAAGACATGCATGAAAGCATCATGATCAATCCATTTTGTCTGGCGAAATCTTTAGTTTATCATATAATTATATATATTTCGAGGTAGCATCTACCCACATATTTTTTGAAAAATGTCAGCAAAGTTTGTAAACAATTGTTGTTTTAATGTGAGTAAATGCATCCTATTAAATTGTAACCACCAAGCTTAACAACTACTCTAACCTCAGCCAAGCCATTTTGAAGGTCTGGCAACCTTTCATGTCATGTTTATTCGGAATGATTGGATGATCGTGGCCAAACTCGATTCCCCCGGCCAAGACAAGTAATCTAAAGGGTTATATTGCAGTGTGCATTTATATCCGACTCCATTTTACTCGCGTTAGCATATATACATAAAATGCAATTGAGAACGCCTTGTTATATACAATTGCATGATCATCTATATGAAATCTTACTTCGAATGCGTGTCATATTTCGATATATGCATGGATCAATAGAGAGCTACAGTTTAGCCAAGCAAACACACTCAAGGAAAAAAAACTTTAAATCGAGCCAACCGTAATACGAATTCTGTTGATGATTTCATCGATAAGCCGGATTTCAATGCTGGGAGGAAATAATTGCAAGCGCGCCTAATAAAGTATGCCCAGTCATGAATAGCCTTATATTATAGCTAATGTTTCGTATAGTGTTCATACTTCATACCTTTATATGCACGTGTTAAAACGCCTTGACTTCCCGATAGATGTTAATATCCAGCAAATATTTGATTTAGTCTTCGCGAAATTACTGTTCAAGATCTTTACCCGCGCGCTCATATACGCATAAACAGTTCATAGGCGCCATTTCAAATTTGTTCATTTTGCCGCTCTAGCTGGCAGGCTTCAGCCTTCAAGGTGCAATGACCATGCATGATTGCAATTTAATATCCGGGATGTACTTTCCTAATAAAAGAGCCCAAATCAGAATTAGTGAATATTTTCCTGTTGCCCAAGCAGCTGATATGTTGTCCAAGCAAGATAAATTCTAATGTTCGTTTTCTGATGAAATATAGCGAAAATATATAAGCGAAATGTCCGAGAGGTCAAACTTAAATGTTTGTACGCGTTAACTTGGCAACTTGCCCTTGGGTTTGCACGCACTTGGTTAAAACATAGCGCTAAACTCAATCTCACAAAACACGGAATTTGTAGACGGCGTCTTTGATGGTTTATGCTAGTTTAATATCAACAAAACTTAAATGGTATAATATAGATTACAATTTCTGGTTTGTTATATTTGTCACACGGGCCACGGCTCTAATTATGTTGACCAGATGATATTTTGTGCATTAACAAAGCCTATATGCTAAATTTCCCTGAGCAATATTATGATGTTCATTGTGCGACACTGGTGTTTTTTTATTATAATAAACAATGTCAAACAATGAACATCATTCATAAAGGTTCATTACTTTCATAAAGTCTCTATCATTTGTACGATTTGAGCTTTTTCCGCGTTCCACGTTTCCGATTCGAGGAGCTAATCAAGAGAAATCAAATTACAACCAAAATATACATGTGAAGTGAATTGTGCTGAAATGTCCATATATATCAATATATATAAAGCAATTTTTTGTGAATTAAGAATCTAAATAAATATTTACAATGCATATATGAGTTATATTTATGCCAGATCAAGTCTCTTTTTATAAAACTTATTTGCCCGGCATTTATTGTTTATGGCTGTCTTCACCGCTTTCCAAACAAGTTCCTCGTCGTATTTACTCTTCATGATAAAGCGCATGAATAACAATACTGTAAAAGAAAAACAAGATTTTTATCGATATGAGAACGTGTAATTCAAATTATTAACAGTAGGTATAGTATCGATATATAGAGTCCTGCCGTTGCTGGATTTTGAATGGTTCGCAAGAGGGTTTTAATATTTGTCATTTGAGTATACATTAGTCATTTACATTTAATTCGACAACACACCTTTCAATGAATTCAATTTAACTGGATCGAGTGGTGGTTTACCATGCGTCCCATCAGTGTTGGATTCACTTAGCTCACGGTCGGAGAAAAAAAAAGGTAGCAATTTCAATGCACACTTTCGTGGCTCTGGGATCTTTTCTAACGCCTCGCTAATTTTTTTGATATTCTTGCTCGGTGTGACAAATTTTCGTATAATATCATCAGACAATACTTGACTTGTGCTTGGTGCATCTGACTTTGGTGAAAGTTGCGAACTGTTTGTGGCTTTATCTTGATCGCCCTCGACCGGATGAACATCGGCGTCATCGATCAAGCGCTTCAAAACATCTATGTCTATCGTTGATAGCTGAAATTGCTCATGATCGCCTGATGAATTCACGGTCGATGACGTGTCTTCGAGAAACGATGTCGAGGAATTATTAAATGGGCTACTGAATTCCTATATAAATATATAGATATTTGTGTGAGGTCTAAATATCTCGTTCAAATTTCATTGCGGT